AGAGGAATCGGGTGGAGAGGGAGGTGGGAGGGGGGATCGGGATGGGGAATACATGTAACTCCATGGCTGATTCATGTCAATGTATGACAAAACCCACTGAAATGTTGTGAAGTAATTAACCTCCAACGAATAAAAATAAATGAAAAAAAAAAAAAACTGATGGGAATTAAAGATGCATTTTTGTTAGGTAGGGTGTAATGATTTCTAGGAAGAAATAATTTCCTCATCAAGGCAGCTGGAAACAGGAGAGTGAAATCTGAAGGATGGTGAGGCTGCTCTGGTAAAGTTCAGGAAAAACTCAGGAGGAGGTTCTTTGACTCTTGTTTTCTCTGGTCTTCTTTTTGGATACCATCCCTTCCTTAAGGTAAAAACTACAAGTGGGAAATTGAACCCTTTCATAAATTACTGCGCAAGATCTTTTTTAATTTCTCTGCTCACAGCCACAGTATTTCAGAAATCAAGTTATATTTTAACAAATCACAGAATCCTATTTTGGTAAGTACCACTATAATAAATACCACACAGTCTAAAGTGCCACAAATTTACTTTTTTTAAAATACAAAACAAAACCGTTGTATGACCCATCTGTTTAGATCTTGTTGTGCTTGGCTATCTTTACTATAAAGAGGCATTCTTGGTATTAACTATTAAAATAGTGTCTAATTCTTAAGTGGCATTAAAAGTGCTTTAAAACTTGCCTTATAAAGGAGGTGGGGTAGGTAGTTTTATTCTCATTTTACGGACGAGGAACCAGTTGTACTATAGTTGATTATCCTACAGTGAAACTGTGTCAGTCTTCAGATGCTATAATGATGTGATCTGCGGGGGGTGATGAGCGAGTAAGGGAGGCTGGAACTGCCAATGGTTAGTGCTCATCTCACAGGGTCCAGGGCTTGAGTCCCATGTCCTTCAAGGAGGCCTCTTTTCTGGATGAGGCCACATCCTCCCTGGTAGAGGTCAGAGTGTCTCCTCTTTCTGTGTCCTAACACTTCACACCTTACTGTCCTTTCTTGTTAACTGCCATCTTTTCCCGCAGACTGAGTCCCACAGGGGTCCTCCGTGTTCACCACTATGTACTCACACATACGGGCTGTCCAGTTCATCCAGACAACCAGTATTTAATGAGAACCCACCTTCCACTTTTCCAATACTATGGATGTGGTGGCTGAACACTATTAAATGAATAGGGTGATTCATAAAATCAGGGTGACAAAGAGGAATAAAAATGGGTGCTATAGAGGGATTCTTAGAAGAAAAAGCCTAGTTCCTACACTCCAGGCAAATGGGAGGAAAATAACTCTTCATAGTGATTATTAGTTCCATTTTACAAACCTCCGAAAAGGTAAGTGTCTTGCCCAAGGTTACTCAGCCAGTTTGAATAAATTAGAACTGAGATTAAATAACTTTGGTCTGTTCACTTCAGAACTACATGTTCTTCATCTCTATTAAAGTCACAGGCCTTAAGTTTAAAAATAATTTACCATCAACTTCTTTAAAATGTAATTTTCATCTATATCCTATAGTATCAGAAAAACATCAGTTCTTGATAATGACCAATGGGTCTTTTAGAATAGTTGTGTTCTAAATTAATAGCAGAGTACTAACCTATGTAACTCCTCAATTATGGTTAGCTTACAACATATAAATAATGTAGGGAAACTCTTAGAACTCAGAAAATAATTGATGATCTTTCAACATTATTACTCAGGCCGGAGATTACAGAAATGCTATTAATATACATGCTGAATAGACTTTGCTCACTGAATGTGTTTAGATTTTCTTAGGAATGTGTTAAGAATTCTGGGATCCTTTCAACTCTTTTGGATTAGTGGATTTCATTTCATAATTCCTCCAGACAGTGAGTGATAATGAAAGAAGACAAGGGAAAGTAACGTCAAACCAATATGATGCAAAGTTCAGTGACTTACAAGGGACCCTGAGAAAGCAGAATGAGAGAGAAAGTACCCTCAGTAATGGTGTGCCTGGACCTTTCACTCCCACTCTGAGTCTTTAAAAGGTTCCATGAATTTATCTAACTTTTTGAATTGGTCAGTATTTTGGGTTTGTGTATATTCATACAGACATAATTTCTATTGAATAAGTATTTCTCCCATATATATTCTAATATACACATATATTTATCCTACCAGTATAGCTCCACTTATAAAGCTATTTTTAAAGATGACTTAGTTTAGGTAAGAGTAAACGGGCAATAAAAGGCTCAAACAGCCAGGTAAAAAAATTAAATTCTGGGACACTATGGTTAACAGGTGGATATCAAGACATGACCTCTGTGCTCATCAGACACCTGGGCTGGGTACAGAGTGGAAAGCTTTAAGGTGAAGCCTCATAAATATGACTGCAGTGGCCAGTTGTAGCTTAAAATAGCAAAAAGAAAAAAAGTCAGTCTTGCTTTTGAAGACTGACTGAGACAGGTGTAATACAAGAAGCTGTGGCAGGGCAGAGTACAAGTCTTGATTAGAAGAAACTTTCAGGCAGTTAGAAACTAATTTGCAGGAAGTCAAATTATGGAAAGAAGTTCTAACTCAAGAATTTTTTTCTTCAAGAGACTATCACTCATTTAAAATTATGAAGAATCTTCTGAAGAGTTAGTACAATTTGATAAACTTCAAGCTTCTCCAAAAACATGAAAAGAGCAAAAGTTAATTATATGTGTTTACTGTGTGTGTGTGGTTCAAACCTGATCTAACATGGCTGCCTTAGGTTTTATAACAATTTAGAAGCAGCGTTGGGTAAATCTCAAACTTGGAAGCTGATCAGTGTAACTGCTAAGAGAAAAGTGTGGGCTGTTTTCAGGAGTTGAGTCTCCTAACTAGAAGACCCCTCACTAGTCTCTCTGATCATAAGGTTCTCAAGGTATCTAATTACTGCCTTCTACCCAAGCTGCCATATTGCAAAAATCCTACAAAAATCTTGGCATCACATATCCTGGGACATGAGGCCACGTGCAACCACTGCCCACAGGAGTCGCAGACTGGAAGAAGGTTGTAATGTAATCCCTGCTGTGGCTCCCCTTCTCCCACGTGTTAGCCCGTGTCCCCGAAGATTCTATTTCTAGGAATCAATACCCAGGGTGATCCTGAGGATGGACCAAAACCTACCGGAAAATATTTATGAACTGTTTATGCTCCAACTAGTGTTGAGGTGAACTTAATAATAGTCAATGCTTTCTGAATACTTACCCTATGCGAGGCACTAAGACCTTTACAAGGATCAACTTACAACCACTGATATTAATCTTCACAACCCTTGATATAGGTACAAATGAAGAAACTAATTCACAGAACAGGTTAAGAAACTTGCGTAAAAGTCAAAGTGCTGGTAAGTAACAGCTGGGATTTGAACCTGTGGTGTCTTGCATAAGAGGCCACACCCTTAGCTAGTAGCCTACACTCTCAGGAAGTTGGCTGACTACAATTCTGCAAATCGTTTGGTGATTCTGACTCAAAGTGGACCTCTCACACTGTCTCACAAAGAGGAGCTCAGTCTGGTTTCCCCTCTAAGGTCTGCTTTAGTGTGAATGTTTCTGCGAGTTTCTAAGTTGTTATTTATAAACTTCTAACTTATACACTGTCTTAATTTCAAAATTGTATGTAGTGCTCTTTTGTTTTATAGGTCATTCACTGACCACCTTTAGGATAATTCTGTCACGGTCCTAACTCCCTGTGTAGAAAACAGTTACCAGGGGTGTGAAAGGCAGCTTTCTGTTATCAAGGAAGCGAAGGTTAATTGTTAAACTCGTCACAGAGTGAGAGAGGGAAGTCGCTCAGTCGTGTCTGACTCTTCGCGACCCCATGGACTGTAGCATACCAGGCTTCTCCATCCATGGGATTTTTCCAGGCAAGAGTACTGGAGTGGGTTGCCATTTCTTTCTCCAGAGGATGCTCCTGACCCAGGGATTGAATCCGGGTCTCCCACATTGTAGGCAGACGCTTTACCGTCTGAGTCACCAGGCGCCAATTCAGCCCTGACTTGCAGCTCCTAACAGAGGTACAGAGCTGCTGGCCACCTCCTATCCTCGGGTGTCCAAGGGAACCCTAGAGACCAGCCTGCAGAGCTGCACGATGCCTGGCTAACTCCCAGAATCTGAATGTTCTGCACATCCATTGTGTGTGGTTCAAACCTGATCTAACATGGCTGCCTTAGGTTTTATAACAATTCAGAAGCAGCGTTGGGTAAATCTCAAACTTGGAAGCTGATCAGTGTAACTGCTAAGAGAAAAGTGTGGGCTGTTTTCAGGAGTTGAGTCTCCTAACTAGAAGACCCCTCACTAGTCTCTCTGATCATAAGGTTCTCAAGGTATCTAATTACTGCCTTCTACCCAAGCTGCCATATTGCAAAAATCCTACAAAAATCTTGGCATCACATATCCTGGGACATGAGGCCACGTGCAACCACTGCCCACAGGAGTCGCAGACTGGAAGAAGGTTGTAATGTAATCCCTGCTGTGGCTCCCCTTCTCCCACGTGTTAGCCCGTGTCCCCGAAGATTCTATTTCTAGGAATCAATACCCAGGGTGATCCTGAGGATGGACCAAAACCTACCGGAAAATATTTATGAACTGTTTATGCTCCAACTAGTGTTGAGGTGAACTTAATAATAGTCAATGCTTTCTGAATACTTACCCTATGCGAGGCACTAAGACCTTTACAAGGATCAACTTACAACCACTGATATTAATCTTCACAACCCTTGATATAGGTACAAATGAAGAAACTAATTCACAGAACAGGTTAAGAAACTTGCGTAAAAGTCAAAGTGCTGGTAAGTAACAGCTGGGATTTGAACCTGTGGTGTCTTGCATAAGAGGCCACACCCTTAGCTAGTAGCCTACACTCTCAGGAAGTTGGCTGACTACAATTCTGCAAATCGTTTGGTGATTCTGACTCAAAGTGGACCTCTCACACTGTCTCACAAAGAGGAGCTCAGTCTGGTTTCCCCTCTAAGGTCTGCTTTAGTGTGAATGTTTCTGCGAGTTTCCAAGTTGTTATCTGTAAACTTCTAACTTATACACTGTCTTAATTTCAAAATTGTATGTAATGCTCTTTTGTTTTATAGGTCATTCACTGACTACCTTTAGGATAATTCTGTCACGTTCCTAACTCCCTGTGAAGAAAACAGTTACCAGGGGTGTGAAAGGCAGCTTTCTGTTATCAAGGAAGCGAAGGTTAATTGTTAAACTCGTCACAGAGTGAGAGAGGGAAGTCGCTCAGTCGTGTCTGACTCTTCGCGACCCCATGGACTGTAGCATACCAGGCTTCTCCATCCATGGGATTTTTCCAGGCAAGAGTACTGGAGTGGGTTGCCATTTCTCTCTCCAGAGGATGCTCCTGACCCAGGGATCGAATCCGGGTCTCCCACATTGTAGGCAGACGCTTTACCGTCTGAGCCACCAGGCGCCAATTCAGCCCTGACTTGCAGCTCCTAACAGAGGTACAGAGCTGCTGGCCGCCTCCTATCCTCGGGTGTCCAAGGGAACCCTAGAGACCAGCCTGCAGAGCTGCACGATGCCTGGCTAACTCCCAGAATCTGAATGTTCTGCACATCCACGAAACAGATGCTGTTTCTAAACAAGAAGGCGCTAATTCACCAAACATACCAATCAGTAACAGTTTATTACAGGTAAGAACTAGGTAACTCACCTAATGTGAGGGAGGCTGGGGCATATACTTTCCCTTAGAGAGTTCTTAAAATCAACTGAACCCCACTACTGGGTACCCAAAAGGTATAAATGTTATAGCCTTGTATTGTCTGAATTTTCCTCTTGTAAATTAAGCAAACTAATACCAATTTATATGAGAAGCTTGACTAACCCTATGGATAAATGCTGAAAGCCAAAAGAGAAGTTATCACATTTAACAAATTCAGTAGTGATAACATTAACACATATTTAGTATCAGGATACTGATACATCAATGTTAAAAAAATGCTTACTGAACAGTGAGTCTCAAAACTACTGTTTTGAAAACCACGTATCTATATAAAAGCTTGACTCTTAGAAAGTTAATCATGTTAATTTGATTAATTTATATTTAGATAATTAAAAAGGTGAGAATTTAAAGAAGGTGGGAACCCACGTTAATAGACATTAGCAAAATAAACCTAAGAAATTTCAAACATAAAAGTTGAAAAATGAATTTCAATGTTAACCCTATGAGTAGACTGAACAGACAAAAGTAAACTGATGGTTATATTCTCATTGACAAAAATATTAATCTACACCTTTATGCAAATATGTCTCAGAAATTACTAGTCAATACTGGGTCAACTGTGGCTTCTTCGCTAAATTACAATCTTTTCCAAAGTCTTATGACCAGGTCAACAATTTAATAGAATTTTAAATCTTACTGAATAAACATATTGATATCTATCAATGAGAGCTTTCTGGTTGAATAATAAAAACAGTAAATGGTCAAGACTCATAATAAAACTAGCATCTACGAGAAAACTGAAATTTTAGGAAGATTTACACTCTGAGGAATTAGAAAACCAAAGTAACTTTCTTAACCAGTTGAAAATTTTCACTTCTTATACAGGAAAGAAACAATTCTTAAAAGCCTGGCTGTTAAATAAAATCCAAACTAAACATTTATGAGAATAATTCACAATAGCCAGAAAAGATGTTTTGTTGAAAGATGCTGACTGTCGTTGGGGTGGAGCCTAAAGTTAAGAACTTAGCAAACGGCAGCGGAGCTCTCCTCCTGGTCAGAACACAACGGCCGGCCTCTGGGCCAAGGTCCATGATCCCTTCCCAGCCCCGGCAGTCAGCTGCTGTTACAGGCTGCCCGATTGTGTCCCTGCCCCGAGATTCACACAGTGAAGCCCTAAGCCCTGGAGGATGGACCTTGGGGAGGTGATCAGGTCATGAGGTTGGAGCCCTTTGACGGTACTCGTTTCCCCTTTCTTAGCCCTCCGAGGACTCAGGGAGAAGGTGGCCCGCGGTCCATGGACCAGGTAGTGGGTTCTCACTAGACCTCAGATCTGCTGGTGCCTTGATCTTGGGACCACTCAGACTCCAGAACTGTGACAAATAAGCGTTTGATTTTTAAACCACACAGTTCAAGGTACAGTTTTTTGTTACCACAGCTGGAGCTGATAAGACAGCTCCCGTGAAGCTTACCACCGCATGCTGGTAAAGGCTTGTGAAAGTGGAGCTGGGACAAGGTGGACACGTGAGCCCACCTGAGGGAGGCCACGTGAACATGGAGGAAATGCTGCGCGGAGAGCCCCTGGTGGCTAGGCCACTGGTGCTAATAAACGCTACCCTTCAGAGCCCTGGGCTCCTTGTCATTAAGGCGCCCTTCTCCCCTGATGCCACCCAGAAGAACCCAGAGGAGCAGAGGGACAGGGAGCCACGTCTCGTACAACTTACTGAATTGGCTTCTTTTTCCAAAGCAGGGCGCGCATCGCTGCTCGCTGGGTTCTTTGGTATAGCAAGTTCAGACTTCTTAGCTTTTGGCTCAGCTTTGCTTTCTTTGGCAACTGGTTTTGTCACAGATTTCGGGGGACTCCACTTGTTGGGTGACGGCTTGTGCACCAGTGCCGAGGAAGACTGGCTCGACCCCTCCTCCTCCGTGTCCTCCGGAGGGTGCTGGGGGGCGTTCAGTTTCACGTAGTACCCGTGGTACTGAGAGTGCAGCTCCCCGTTACTGGGGTTGGGGATGTGGTGGCGGCCAGAGTACTTGGAGGAGGGCATGGCCGCCCCCACCTCCTTCGGGGGCGCCTTGGAGGCCAAGGGCTTGTTGACAGTGGCCGTCACCTTCTCCTCAGCCGCGCTGCGTTTGTCCTGGTTGAGTCTCGCCCCTGAACTGGGGTTCTGCTTCCTTGCGGGCTTCGGGGAGGGAGAGCGGCCTTCTCTGGGACTTGGCTCAGGAGACTCTGGGGGTGTGGTGCCTTTGCGGTAGAAGTGAGGTGATTCCTTTGGTGTGGGGGGCTTTTCCGGGACCTTGTCTTCGGGATTTTCTTTAGCATCTACACCTTCCTGAAATCTCTGTTTGATATAATCTGGGCCTGGGGAGAAAGTGGACAACAGAATGGGAGGTGATAAAATGAAAATAAGGCATAAAGGCTTATTCCTCATGGCTACAAACATACATATATTTGCTAAATCAACTTAGCCTTTCCTCTTCTTCTTTAAAATGTATTTATAAGGCTTTGACTACGCACAAGGATGTTTCATGCCCTGGGACAAAGATTAAGGTGATATGTACTTGCCTGGAGAATCCTTTGGACAGAGGAGCCTGGCAGGCTATGGTCCACAGGGTCGCACAGATTTGGACACTACTTAGCACACACACGCACATATGTACCATTATTTTACACTATTTTGATAGCCATAAAAGTGAAACAGTCCTGATTTCCCATGTAATTGTACTGTTCCCTCGTGCTGGCAGAATAGGGAGGCAGAATTCATATGGATGGAGCACTGCTGACAGCACCATAATTAACGTGCACATTCAAATTACATGGTATAACTAAAATACAAAGTATATGCTCATATAAAAAAATAAACTGACTCGTGTGCTTAATATTTAATATATTAGAACACTTAAATATATTAAAAGAATGTTTAATAAAGCATCTACACTGGAGGAGAACATGCAAATAATCATAATGACCCTTTATCAAAGGAGCATTTAAACTGCCCAGTTAGAAACAAACACTGAAGTGTAGGTTACACTTCACAGGATAACTTACTCAGAGGCCCTTCAGAGTCTGGCTTTGCGTCGGCCGCGTTTCTGCAGGCATCAGAGTTAAGACAAGCCAGTTGTCTTTGGCTCTGCGGTCTCAAGACTTTTTTTCTGAGTACTTTAGAATTGTTTAACAATCACATGTTATTTTTATAAAAAAGAATCCTGTTTTTTAAAAGGGACCCTGGTGCATTGTTATTTTATGGGCAGGTTTTGGGGGAGAGTAAGGAGAACTTGCACCACAAGACTGTCCCACCAGCTGTGAGCACGTCAGGAGGCCAGCATCCAGAGAAGGGAGTCTCTGCAGACCTCAGATGTGCTCCAAGGCAACGCCCTTCTGCCCAGGTACTCTCCTCTTCCCCTGTGCAGCCTTTGGCCACCGCGTCACCCAGCCACCATTTCTCATCAAAGGAAATCAAATCAAGGTCACCCAGTCCAACTGGCCCTCTTCTCTGCAAATGGGAGGTAGCTGACTGTATCATCTCTGGAGTATGCAAGGGAGAACTCACCCACCAACTTGCTTATAGGGACTGACCAGCTCTTGTCAACTCCAGAGCATTGCCTCTATTAACTTTCCTTCCTGCCTCCATGCCCAGCCCTCACCCCAGGTGGGGCTGAAAGACAATTATCCTTGATTGTTAAAAATGCATACTACCTCCATCAAGATGAATGGATAAAGGAGAGGTTTAGACACACAAAACTGACAAACAAAAGAATGAAATTTTGCCATTTATGGCCACACGGATGGACTCGGAGGACATGATGCTAAGTGAAATAAGTCAGAGAAAGACAAATACCGTATGTTATCCCTTATATGTGGAATAAAAAAATTTGACATATAAGGGATAGCATTTGTCCTTCTCTGACTTGTTTCACTTAGCATCATGAACATGTGAAACTAGCAGACTCGCAGGTATAGAGAACAATCTTGTGGTTACCAGTGGGGAGGGGGGGACAGGCAGTGTAGGGGTGGGGGAGTGGGAGATGCAAACTATAGGTGGTTAAGACAGGCTCAAGGATGTACTGCACAAGGAGAACATAGCTAATATCTTGGAATAACTGTAAATGGAAAATAACCTTTAAAAATTGTATAAAAATAAATTAAAAAAAATAAAAAAACCTACTACCGACTAGTCACTGCTCTTCCTGTGACGATCTGAAAAATTATTTATTGTGAGATGGCCATTTATTATACAACGTGTTTTCCAAAGTGTTAAGCCTCACAAGTGGGCATTATCCTGATTTTACTGATATAGAAACAGCTGCAGTGGCTGAAAAACCCAAAGTCACACAGCTCCTGTGGATCCTTAAGATAAAATATCACGCAATATGTAATATATTAAGCCCAGAAACAAGAATTCCCGAGGGCCCACATTTATAGGTTGCACTAAGGGACAAAAGCATAAGAGTTCTATCTCACAGTCCATCCTGCAGAAGATAAAGCCACCACTCAGCATTCAAACTTCCCAAACAGGTCAAGATCACATGCCGACAGTCGAGATTTCCTTTTTAAACTTAAGTACCCTCTTTACAAAACTTGGCAATTTTCTTTTAAATCCACTAAATATGGCAGTATGAATTCTTGGCACAGAGAAAGGTGTCCTGCTTGGCTAGCCTATCCCTTCTCCAGGCGAATCTTCCCGGCCCAGGAATCGAACCAGGGTCTCCTGCACTGCAGGCGGACTCTTTACCAGCGGAGCTATCCGGGAAGCCTGAAGAAACAGAGGCAACTGCAATTATTCAAAAGGTGCTGTTTTTCTTTCCAGCTCCTTCCTTGGGGCTCTGACTAGACCATTACCACCAAGAGAAAGATGCGTCAGCAGCAGCCCTGGAAGGAGATGTTTTTCAACAGGCTTGCGCTGACTTTCAAAAACCCACGAAGAGAATTTACCCTGGTTTTTCACGGAGAAGTCCCTCATCTACTGCAGACTTAAATTTACACAACACCCCCTCCGCAGTACGCTGATGGCGTATTTTCTCTCACCCTTCAATGCCACATTTCATCAGACTTTGGTTTCACTTGCGCTTCACTTTCATCCAATTTTAGAGCATGACTGAAATACCCATCTAGGCATAGTAGTAAGTGTTCTGTGTAAAGGTAATTAATAGTCAAGACTCTTAAAGCCAATGGATTTTCCCCTTAGTCACCTAACCCTGAAACACAAATTACAAAGTACTTTCAATGTCTTCAATCTAAGGGGTAAATGCAAAAGTTATTTTTGCAGATCTTTCTATCTTAAGATTAAGGCATATGAAAAGCTAATGTCTGACTTAAATACACACACCAAAAAGAACAGGAACAAAATAGACGCTGGCAGACATGGCTAGTTATACATTCTTAAAGTTGGGAGAAGAGAGTCACAGAACCACAGGAAATAAAGCTGTCACAAAGCCCGTGTGCTTCAATTTGAAAATGTGAGACTGGAACGGTGATACTTAAAAAAGAGTTTAGGGTTTATCTGGGTAACCACTGGTCTCACCTGCGTCTACTGTGGAAAGCAGACGAGAAGCTGAAATAGGAACTGCTTTGACAGGTCCCAGCAACGTGACAGCTGCCAGCAAAGGAGACTGCTTAAATGTTAGCAGCAGCAAGAGGTGGTTTATTTGGGAGGAAACTCAGTCAATTCAGTGATAGTGGGTCCCAGAAAAAGAATTTTTTAAAAAAAGTGATATGCTTTAGTTATCTGGAAAAAGAACAAAGACCTAAAATACCTGAATACAAAGTCTAGTTTCAAATATTCTTTGTAAAGAGTAAATAGATCTCCCCCTACCTCTTAATTTATGCCATTGTGAATAGGCCAGGCTGAGACTGATCTGGCCCTTGGAGGATTCTGTATTAATGGCCTTACAAAGCTATATTCTGGATTCCACTGAACGTATATGTTTATTAACTCTTAAATACCAGTCTAGCCAACTCCTTTAGACCTGTAGACCTCTCATGCATTGCTTCTTATCTTAAATGTCTTCAGAAAGGCATTTTTTTACTTGTGCCCATCTTCTCAGACATGGTTTTCAGACGTATTCATTCAGTTTTATCTACAGGGCTTCTGACGATACTCAGAATCTGTTGAGCTCAAAGAATTTCCTAGCACCACCTTTCAGATTAAAAAAAAAAAAGAAACCTCCCAGCTTTACTACCCATTAAAAATTGGCTGGATGAGAGAATAAATGTACTTCAAAGAAGTGTTCCCCATGTGCTGCCTAGCAGAGGCATGTGAGGTGTGACTTTCAGAGAATTTAGTAAGTCCTAATTGAAGCCTAGAAGTCTTGAGGTTTAATAAGTGCTCCAGGTAACTCTAATGTAGCCAGAGCTGGCATTCAAAAGTATGGCAAGTTTGGGATGGACATGTACACACTGCTACATTTAAAACAGATAACCAACGAGCAACTACTATAGAGCACAGGGAACTCTGCTCAATGTTCTGTAATAACCTACATGGGAAAAGACTTTGAAAAAGAAGAGACATATGTATAACTGAATCACTTAGGTGTGCACTTGAAACTAATACATCGTTAATCAACTATACTCCAATATAAAATTAAAATAAAAATAAATAAGAAAAAAAGACACCAGGGTGAGAGACCCTGAAATAAAGACTTCTGATTCCACACACACACAAAAATTGAACAGTATGGCCATAAGTATGCTGACAAGAGCCAGACCTAACTCCAGCCTTCCTCACCTGCATCCAGCTGGAAATGGTTCCAACATGGCATAGTCAACTGGGGACTGGCCAGCTAAATGAGGATATAGACTTAGATTTTCCAGAGTAAGATTAAGTGCTTTTAAAACAAAATATTTAACATAACGTGGAGGGCAGAAGTTTTTCCTGGACAATTTTCTTGGAAGGCACATGGTGTGTCTGCTACTTGTTCTGTGTAGTAATGTGTGTCCACACTGTGATGCCAGCACCATAAAGCTGATTGGATGCAACGGTTCATTAAAAAGACGGGTCAGAATATTGCCAGGGAGGAAATGATGACAAGTGTTGAGAGTTGTTGCAGTCAGCACTTTGGTCTGTTCTTATAGACGGTATTTCTGAGTCCTTAAGGGATGTTTCTGGGAAGAAGTCAGAGACAGGTCACCTGCTAACTGACGTGCCACACAACACAAAACACCAACGCTGAGCACATGTCAGGCCCCCACACCGAGAGGTTATGAGCTACAGTTGACACGAAGGTTCTGAACAGATACAGCACATGGAAAACAGCGGGGCGTTCAGCTAGTTCTTCACCGGTGAGCCTCGGTGAAATGGCTGGGGGCACCACGAAGACCCCCCAGGGCAGTGCACATGCTTTGTAGCAACATCAGAAGTCATTACATGGAAATTAGATATTTTTAAGGGGGACTGTCAATCACTAAAAGAAGACCAGATTAAAAGGTTTTTAAAAAATTATACAACTGATGGCAGATCACTACTCCATGTGGAAAGAATGCCACTTTCCCATAGGACTTTAGGGTCCCATCCATTACTGTACTGCAACTTCTGTCTGTGTCGTAGGACACTCAGCCCAGGGTTGTGCACATGGCAGGCTTTCAGTGCCCGTGTGTGTCGAGTGGGATACAGTGGGATACACAGGTGGTAATAACCAGAAGCCCCATGCATTACTAATTTTTCATCAACTAGTAGATTATTCCATTTCCCTTTCTCTATGAAAAAAAGTTATTCCAAATTTTGGGTCTGTAAAGTGAGTTTAGAAGTTATCTATCGCAGGAAACTTTTTTTTTTTTTAAACAAAAAGTACATATTAATAATGTGTGTTAGTGTGTCTGGCTCTTTGTGACCCCATGGACTGTAGCCTGCCAGGCTCCTCTGTCCGTGGGATTCCACAGGCAAAAGAATATGGAATTGTTGCCATTTCCTACTCCAAGGCATAGACAATTCTTAGGACTTCTAATTCATACCAGAAGTGTGAACTTAGTTGACACTGTCTCAAAATAACCTATACCAAAAGACTTCACTTGAAGCAATCAACATATTCTATGCATGTGTGTGTAACATACATGCTCTTATACCATGAACGCTTGTGTCTCCTTGCCCTCACAAATTCAGATGTTGAGGCCCTAACCCCCAATGTGATGTTACTTGGTGGTGGCGCCTTGGGGAGATAGTTTAGCTCATAAGGGGAGACTCTCGTGAGTCTCATGGACTTAATATTCTTATAAAATCTGGAAGAGACACCAGAGTTCTCGTCCTCCAGGTTCATGGACTGGAGAAAGGCTGTCTGCCAGCTGGGAAGAATCACCTGAACCCAATCATGTTAGCATCCAGATCTTGGAATTCCAGATTCCAGAACTAAGAAAAATAAATGTCTGTTATGTAAGCCACCATGTCCATGGTATTTTGCTGTAGCAGCCCAAGTCAACTAATACAAATGCTTAAACCCAGGAAGACGAAGCTTGTGAGGCTGTTACTTGGGTCACCTCCCAAGAGGGCTCTACATAATGTAGTCACCTATACTATGTATATATAACATACTCTACATAAGTATAGTCTACATAATATAGTCACATTCGCTTTTTCCACCCATGACCAGTCAGTCCCACAACTGATAAACACCACTTGAAATAAAAAACAAAACAAGGCATCTGATGGAAAGGAAACTGAAACAGTGGGGGAAAAGAGCCGTACACAGAGTTTCCCAATTACCCTTCGCCATGTCCAGCTCCCCACCACCTCCTCCGTGACCATCCCAAGTCCTGTCTCGGCTTTCCTGGCTCAGAAAGCCAGTTTCATCAGCTCTTTGAAGCCGCGCCATCCCTCAGGGCTGACTCCCATCGCCGAAGCTCACAAGACTGATGTGTGACACCAGAAGACCGATTCATCAGTTCACAATGAGCGAGGTAAATGTCACAAAGGCCGGGACCAGCACTGATGCCACCAGGGCATGCTCTCCCCACTGGCAGACCTCCACGAGAAGCTTGACCAAAATTAGAAGGTTACTGGTGATGGCGGAATCGAGACAGAGGCATGAGATGAATCAAGAATCCAATGGCATCAGGCTGAGCACGCCTGTTGCATCCATTTCCTCACTCGGATGATCTTGCCAACAGAGCCATACACGGCTGGCTACCTCTCCCTGCGTCCTTCCCCATAACAAAACGTCCCTGCCAGTGCAACAATACTCCAAGGTTCTGGCCACAGCATCGCTCTCCTCTGGATAGCGTTCCAATGGACACTGCCTATTTTTGCCTCTGTGACTCTTTTTTTTAATACTACTTTGGGTGACCAAGTCTTGGTAAATTCTAATACACTAAATCAGGTTACAAGGAAATCTGGCTGAACCACAGACATACTACCTATCACGAACGATCACTTTATACATTCCTGTGCTGTCTCAAGGGCTCATTTTAACCCTCAGTTGTTGCTGTTCAGTTGCTAAGTCATGTCCGACTCTTTGCTACCCCATGGACAGCAGCACGCCAGGCCTCCCCGTCCCTCAACCACCTCCCGGAGTTCGCCCAAGTTCATGTCCATTTAACTCTCAGAGGGCAATCTTATTTCAAGTTCTGGGGTTATGACTCACTGTGTCACTCTTACTCATGGCAATTTAGATTTCTGTGTGTGAATGCAATTATCTACACACACGTTCATGTGCATCCATTTGAATGCTTTTTATTGTTATAACCAAGCCCTTTGAATGATAAAGCTATTCCGCATGACCACATTTTAAAATATTTATTTGTTTGCCTGCACCAGGTCTTAGTTGCCGGAACGTGGGATCTAGTTCCTTGACCAGGATCGAACCTAGGCCCCCTGCATTGGGAGCACAGAGTCTTAACCACTGGACCACCAGGGAAGTCCCTTTTTAATTGAACTGTAGAATAATACAGATTTGAGCTAAAAAGTATAAAATTGAATTAAGATGGGAAACTTCTGAAAATACTGCCAGCTCCTGAAAAGAGGTAACTTACCATGAAAGTTCAAAATATTAGCTATGACAGACATCCTTTTTTCCAAGGGTTAACGACTTCTATGCACAACACATCCATTCCCAACAAAGGAAACATTTGTATCTGGGATATGTAAATGAAATGTGCAGTCTGACTCAGAAAAAGTACTTGAAAGCCCTTTCAGAAATGTCTATCCAATTTGATCACCCTGTGAAGAATGCACAGTGGAAAGCATGAGTTATGCTCCCTTGAGAAGATCAATAATACTCAGTAAAGAAAAGGCTTTTTATACAGTTGCCGAAGGTAGTGCTGGCTGTGGGTCAAAGGAGATTGCTGCCATCCCCCCTTAGCTCCTGTCTCAAATAGACCCCTTGTCATCTCATGCTACTCTGATGTATTCATTACTGAGGGACAACTGGCTTGTGTGACGCTGTTTTAGCTATGAAAGGGTGGAATGGCATTTTCCCACAATATTTTCCCCCCTCCTCCAATGCTTTCACGTCACAAAAGGCTTTTAAAAACCTATTAGTCTGAAAAATTGAGATGACCTCCCCTATCGTTTAGCTTCTGTTAACACCTACTGGCAATCTCAGGGACCCAATCCCCAGTGAGGAGTGAACAACGGAACCGAGAAATCACCATCTGCAGACAATAGCGAGTTTGTTTGCTTCCACAGCAGCTCAAGGCCAGGGCTGCTTCATGAAGCTGCTTTGTCTCCTGACTGCCCAGCTGCTCCCAAGAGCATCACTGCTGCAAAGGGACAAGAGGCCCCCCCCCGCCCCACCCCGTGGCTGAACCCCCTCTTCAGCTCTCACACCCTACAACAAGAAGTTCCCAACGTGCTTAGGTCCAGGGATGTGGGAATTTCCAGAGAAGCCTTTATTCCTACCCCCCAAAATGGAAAATTTCCCTTTCCTAATAAAACAAGTATGCATGAAATGATTTCAGTCGACCCACAGATGGGACACAAATGAAAATAAAACACAACTCAAAGGATGCACATGAAAGAAAACATCCATCGCCACTGGTTTCTCCCTTGAACCAAGTACAGAACTAGTCTCTCTATAGTAACTCAATCACTCTGCAACTGAACCCAGGCCTGTCCCAAAGCGCTCTCATAAAAACAGTCTTGTTAACAAGACTGTCTTTTACTTTTACTGTCTTCAGTAAAAGTCTTTTGCCTTTTACTGTCTTCACCCTTTACAGAAAAAAAAAAAATCCTGTCCTTTCTTTCTCATTCACTCATGCAACTTTCTAGTCAACTTTCTAGCTTTCACATGGAAGCTTGCTCTTCTATACACTGTGACTTACCTTGTTCATGTAGTCACACGGATGCCCTGTGGGTTCCAGTATTTTATCACCCTCACTGGAACCAAACAGGTATTGGACCCACGTGTTGTGCAGGGTGCTAGTTATCCAGCTTAACAGAAACCAATGTAGAAAAACTCTTCACCAAGAAAACAAATTTCGATACTTAGAAATTAAGAACATTTCTTTTAGTCTCTTTGCCTGGAAACCTGTTGATCCCTTGAATCAACAGGAAGTTGTTTCTAAAACAATGGAGAAACCACAAAATGGCAATCGCCACCTTTTCCTAGAACACATATTAAACACATCCCTATAATATCCTATATTAAGGAAAGGGATGGAAACAGTTTACTAGGAAAGCTCTAAGGAGTGAGTTAAATATTTAAACCTACTGTAAATTATATCTTTACTGCTATGGTATAACGTTTGAGAGGCAGATGATCTGGGGTGATTTTGTGTGCGCGTAGTTGTCCTTTTCATTTCTTCTATCATGACATACATTCTCCTAAGTCTGTGTAGAGGCAACTGTCTTTAACTGGTGCATTTCTTTACATCCTAACATTCCTTTGAGGTGTATTAAAAAAAGAAGTCTAGTACTTACTGGTTTCTTTGCTAATGTGATTGTTACAGGTGCCTGATTTTGAGGTGTTTGTTTTAGCACCTGTGATGGACCTGAACACACTGACACAATTTCTTAGATTCTTCTTTTAGATTCTCATCTTGTTTATGCTATCAGTTGCAAGTTTGCTGCTCTGGGTGGGAGGGGAGAAGGCGAGGGAGACGCTCTGGGGAAGAACAAGCCAGAAATCCAGCACCAACACTCAAGACTTCAGACATGTGTTACTCTAACTTCCCAATTTTTCTGCAATCCTGCTGAAATTCAGGGGGCACAGATCTTCAGATTATAAAGAAAAACAGGCGAAAGGAAACCAGAGGCCATGTTCCCAGCTCCCCAACCCCTCCTATCGCAGCAGGTCCTACCTGCTCCTACCCGCCCCCACCTCCCCACCCCCGACCAACAGCATCGCAGGTCCCACCTGGCTGGTAGAAGTCAGGCGACAGCTCTCGGGCCACAGCTCTCGCGATGTCACACTCCTGGCGGGCGGCCAGCGCGGCCTGGTCTGCGGCGTCGGCTTTGGCTCTCGCGTGGGCGGTCCTATGGGAGCACAGAGGTGGGTCAGCAAGGGCGGCGCCCTGGTCATCACACAGGACCTGCAAATGGTCTACGGAGCAGGCGGGGCGGGGAAGAAATGCTCACGGTGATCCCGGCCCCACGCCTGCCACAGGAAGTTCCGCACTCATTCCACTGTGAGACGTCAATGATAAAAAAGGCGGATGAACACCCGTGAGTTGCCTCGATCTTTCTTGCAAGGCTGACGAATGTATATGGAAGTTATGCGCAGCTTAAGGCAAAGCTTGCTGTTCAAAACGAACAGGATCAAATCCCCTATTGACTTTGGCCGGGGGTAGGGTTCTCCTTTTCTGTCCCCCAACCATGGAGAACAGGACTGGATCATGTGAATTAGTATACAGCCCATGGATTTCATTTCTCTGGTAGAGTCAATATAAGGATTTGAGTAAAAAAGATCTGCCCAGTGGTGTGATAGTAAAGAAGCTCTCTGGGGGAATAAATAGTAAAACTTTGATCTGTAGCATCCATCGACTGACTGCTTGGCTTAAAAATTAAAAAAAAAATTTTTTTTTTGGGGGGGCCATGCTACACACCATGTGGGATCTTAGCTCCTCCACCGGAGATTAAACTCCAGCCCCCTGCACTGGAAGTGAGGAGTCTTAACCACTGGACCACCAGGTAAGTGCCAGCACTGGCTGATTTCTGTGGTGTGTTGAAGACATGCTTGCTCCCAGCACGGCCAGGTCATGCTATCAGTGTGATTTGCTGAATGTGCAGTTGGGAGCAGATCTACACGGTGGGCTCCCCTCTGGGTCTGCTGGGACAATGTGCCCAGGAGGGTTCCAAGAAGCCCATTTAGTTGCTTTTTAGGCACATTTCTTGTGTGAAACAAAAAAGGAGAGAAGTGGCGCTGCAGAGGAGGAAAGGGGTCTACCCCCTTCAGTCCACCGCCTTCTCCCTGGCCTGATTCCTTACCCACTGAAACCTCTGCTCTTTCTAGAGGACTAGGGCTGGGAGGAAGGAAGCAGGGGTTCCTCCCAGCCCTAGTGGGCCTCCCTGTTAGCAAGGCTCACGGAGACTGACATCTGCCTGCCCAAGAAGAGGGGCTTGGAGGCTGCGATTGGGTCATCCACTTCCAAAGGAGATCTTGTCCAGTTGGTATTTAGATGACGACCCTGGGCACCTACTTCTTATAATTTTATAAACTTCCTATTTTTTTTAATTAGTGCTAGGCAGGGCTATAACAACTAGTTGTAAAAGCTTAAGAAGAGTCTAAAGAGGTGACTGCACTCACTTCAGAGAGAGCAGGAGAGGAAATGTTGGGAAATGGCATTGTGTCCTAGCCGGGGAGGACAGGGTCTGACCTGAGGACCTGGGGCTAAATGCTGGAGGCCCCATTCTCCAATTCCCTTCTCTAACTCCCTGCTCTCAGGCAGGGGCCCATTTCACTCCTCCTTAGGACCTAGCTGAGCTTGGAGGCTTGCTGTACTATAATGTTAAGTGTCATGGAGATTTTTATTTTAGGGATTTTTTCCCTTAATTTTGGTCCTCTACTATATTCCTACCCCTTCATGTATCACAGCCTTGTCGTGGGGAAGGGGCTTGCATCACTCAATGAAGCTATGAGCCATGCTGTGCAGAGTCACCCAAGATGGATGGGTCACAGTGAAGAGTTCTGACAACATGTGGTCTACTGGAGGAGGAAATGATAACCCACTCTAGTATTCTTGCAGGGAGAACGCCATGGACAGTGGGAAAATGCAAAAAGATAAGACCTTGAGCCTCCAGGTTAGAAAGTGTGCAATATGCTACAGGGGAAGAGTGGAGGGCAATTACTAATAGCTTCAGTAAGAATGAATCGGCTGGGCCAAAATGAAAATGACACTCAGCTGTGGATGTGTCTGGTGCTGAAAGTAAAGTCCAATGCTGTAAAGAGCAATATCGAATAGGAACCTGGAGTGGTAGGTCCATGAATCAAGGTAAATTGGGTATGGTCAAGCAGGAGATGGCAAAGACTGAACATTGACATATTAGGAATCAGTGAACTAAAATGGACAGGAATGGGTAAATTTAATTCACATGACCATTGTATCTACTTCTGTGATCAAGAATTCCTTAGAAGGAATGGCTTCAAGCTAGGCTTCAGCAGTGTTTGAACAGAGAATTTCCAAATGTACAACCTGGTTTTCAAAGAGGCAGAGGAACCACAAAATCAAACTGCCAACTTTCAGTGAATCATGGAGAAAGCAAAGGAGTTTCAGAAAAAGTCTATTTCTGCTTCATTAACTACACTAAAGGCTTTGAATGTGTGGACCACAACAAACTGCCAGAAAATTCTTCAAGAGATGTGAGTACCACATGCCCTTATCTGTCTCCTGAGAAACTTGTAAGCAGGTCAAAAAGCAACAGTAAGAACCAGACATGGAGCAATGGACTAGTTCAAAATTGGGAAAGGAGTATGACAAGGCTGTATACTGTCATGTCACCCTGCTTATAAAACGTATATGCAGAGTATATCATGCAAAATGCCAAGCTGGATGAATCACAAGCTGGAATCCAGACTGCCGGGAGAAATATCAACAACCTCAGATATGCAGATGGGACCACTCTAATGGCAGAAAGTGAAGAGGAACTAAAGAACCTCCTAGTGAGGGTGAAAAAGGAGGCCACAAAAGCTGGTCTGAAACTCACCATTAAAAGACCAAGATCCTGACATCAGGTCCCATCACTTCATAGCAAACAGAAGGAGAAAAAGTGGAAGCAGTGACAGATTTTCTTTTCTTGGGCTCCAAAATCACTGTGGACTGTGACTGCAGCCACGGAAGTAAAAGATCGCTGCTCCTTGGAAGGAAAGCTATGGCAAACCTAGACAGTGTATTATAAGGCAGAGATTATCACTTTGCCGACAGAGGTCTGTATAGTCAAAACTATGGTTTTTCAGTAGTCGTGTAAAGATGTGAGAGTTGGACCATAAAGAAAGCTGAGTGTCAAACTGACACTTTAAAATGTGGTGCTGGAGAACACTCTTGAGAGTCCTGTGGACTGTAAGGAGATCAAACCAGTCAACCCTGAATATTCACTGGAAAGACTATTGCTAAGGCTGAAGCGCCAATATTTTGGCCAACTGATGGGAAGAGCCAATTCATTGGAAAAGACCCAGATGCTGGGAAAGATTGAGGAAGAGGAGAAGGGGGCGGCAGAGGATGAAGATGGTTGGATAGCATCACCGACTCAATGGACATGAGTTTGAACAAACTCCAGCAGACAGTGGAGGACAGAGGAGCCTGTTGTGCTATATAGTCCATGGGTTGCAAAAAGCTGGGCATGACTTAAGGACTAAATAACAGCAACACTATATTCCCAAGGCACAGAACACTGCTTGGCACATAGTATTTATTGAGGGATCATTTCATAAATAAAAGAATGAAGAATATTTTCTTAGGAACAGCTGGGTAGTCACTTAAAAATGAACGGATTGACAAAACTACAGAGACAGTAAATAGGTCAGCAGTTTCCAAGGGTTCAAGGTGAAAGCAGGTGAGGGATGAACAAGTGGATCACACGGAATACTTAGGGGGCTGAAACTATTCTGGATAATCCTCTAATGGGGGGGATACACGCATCATGCTCTTGTCATAACCCACTGAACTGTACAAAGAATGAACCCTAGCATACAGTACAGACTTTATAGTTAATATTAACATACCCGCATGGGTTCCTCAATTGTATCAAATGCACCCACTACTGCAAGATGTTAGTAACAAGGGGAATTGGGTATGGATGTGGGCAGAGGAGGTATATAGAAGCTCTGTACTTCCTGCTCAATTTTTTCTGTAGACTTAAAACTGCTCTAAAAAATAAAGCATATGAATTAAAATTGAATAAATCAAATTCATCTGAATGATTATTTATGAATTATGGAGGGTATCTTAGATGATCCCTGTTGACAGGGTATGGCGACAAGATCAAGAAGGTTAGAACATATTCCTAAAACCCCCCACGAGGAAGCCAACACTGATGAGGCTTTAGTTCCATGTGTTGGGCCTGAGACTCAGTGGATGCCCTCTCTTATGCTCTTTCAGTTTCTCAGAATCTCAACTCTTTTTTTGTCCCCAGAATTATTTTCCATTTTATCTGCTATACTTAGCTCGAGCCTAATTATGTCTAGGTACCATAATTAATGAAGCCACAAGAGTACAGTTATCCTGCCCTATAATAAAATCTGCTAGCCTTTCAATGATAAACTTACAAAACTCAAGTAATATTTATTCTGACTCAATCACAACCCACCACCATGGAGTCAAATAAATGGTGGAAGTATTTCCACCACTTCTGACAGTACGCTAAACTGGAAAACAGACAAACACAGCTTAACCTTTCTGTAAATATATTTTGGAAGCACTGCATCAGCGAAGCCTTAACCCTTTACTATTCCTTCCTTCCTGTAAGACCAGACAAGGGTGGGGTGGGGGGGCTTTTCCACTGAGTCCCCCTCCCCATGTCAGTGCTTCTGCATGACTGCCAGGATGGTCAAAACCACAGTCAAGCCTGAAACCAGGTGTGTGCCCAGGAGCTTCTGGTAATCCTGGACCTGAAATAGAAAGAGAAATAGAAGAGAGGGACTTCCCTGGTGGTCCAGTGGTTAAGAATCCACCTGCCAATGCAAGGGACACGGGTTCAATCCCTGGTCAGGGAAGATCCTACATGCCGTGAGCAACTAAGCCTGTGCATCACAACTTCCGTGTGCCCGGAGCCTGTGCTCTGCACCAAGAGGAGCCACTGTACGCTGCACCGTAATGAAGAACAGCCCCCCAACCCCCATGGCAACTAGAGAAAGCCCGCACACAGCAACGAAGACCCAGTTTAGCCAAAAATAAATAAGTAATTTTTCAAAAGTAGTAGAAGAGAACAGGAAGCCATCTGAGTTTGCTGTCATCAAAAGGGCTGTGGGGTCGGGCCATTGATACATCTTGGTTTTGTCCAGGGGAAAAATCTGGGCTTGACCCCGGTTCATGTGATTCATGTATTCCAATCCCATGCTCAGTTTTCGAGCAACACATGATCCCTTTAGTCAGTAAGACACGCCAAAATGCCATCGTTCGCGGGCTGGTGGTGGGAGTTGGTGCTGGGAGAGAAGACAGGTGGAAACTACTCAAAGTGGATGCCCGGCTGCTCCCAGGTGGCTGTTCACGTGCAACACATACACATAAAGAAGGAGCTTGCACGCATGCCCAAGAAGCTTTTGTTTACCCCAAAGACTGCTGACACCCATCAATCTTCAGACCCTCAGGAATATCCTAATACCATCACCATCATCTATACTTTCTCGTATCAAATGCAGCAAAAAGTAAGGGGAAAACACCATCTCTCAGGCATCAGTGGCTGACTTTGTTTTAGGGTCCTACTTTTACCAGTAAACCAGTTTTAACATGTAGAGAGTTACTATTTTGGGGTGAAGAGCTATGGAGAGTTCTGGGTCACTGGCAAACTGGTACAGCAGGTAAGTGACCCTCACCCAGACATAAGCTCTGCAAAGGTCACTTGTGAACAGCCCAAACAGTAACAGTGGAAGTTCTGAATGTCAGGCATCATTGTACTCAGACCTTAATTACAACTTGCTGCTTTCCAATCAGCAGTAGTGTTAGTCGCTCAGTCATGTCCGACTCTCAGTGACCCCATGGATTACAGCCAACCAGGCTCATGGAATTCTTTAGGCAATACTGGAGTGGGTTTCCATTTCCTTCTCCAGGGGATCTTCAGGGATCGAACCTGAGTCTCCTGCACTTGCAGGTGGGTTCTTTACCGTCTCAGCCACCGGGGAATTTGATGAGAATTTTTTTTTCTTTAGAGACTAAAATACGTGTTTCATGAACTTTCAAGTCACCTTACTCAGAACAAAACAATCTGGTTTTCTCAGTTTTTCTTAAACATTATAATGTTTTTACAAGAAAAAAAAAAGCACATAGACAATACATGGAACACGCCCAGCACATGCACCTACTACTACTAAGGTACATGCAGGTCCCTTAGACAACTGTTCCAACTTCGTTCCATCTTTTATACACCTATTCACTGACGTAGCAGATAAAGATTTTAATCTAGAATCAACCAGGATTTGGCTAAAGGTAAAACTGTATAAGGATTTCCCTGGTGGCTCATCTAGAGAAAGTCTGCAGCCGTGAAGACCCTGTGCACCTCAACAAAGACCCGGTACAGCCCCCAATTTTTTTTAAATGTTAAGAAACAAAAAGCAACTGTACATAAGACTCCAGATCTTAATGGCAACTCTATTTCTCCGCTGCTCAAGCTCAGACCCTGTAAGTCATCCCTGTTGCCTCCCTTTCGCTCACGGGCCACATCCACGGTCAGCAAAGGCGGCTGGCAGCACCTTCAACACA